AACATCGGAAAGATGCAAACTGAAGTTTTCTGGATTTCCTCAGATCTCTAGGAAATCCCCCCTCTAGATTCAAGCAATCGTTGTTGAAGCACCGAAAGCTAAAATTTTTGAAAATGTATATTTTCTTCGTTTAGTTGATTTTAACAACCGTTGCTCGCATTTCCATGTACTGTACAGCAGTATTCTGTTATTTGGAAAAATTTCAAAAGCATGAGAACTCAGATGCAATATTTAGGATCTACGAGATAAAATGCTCCTTCTTTTTTTAGGTCGGACTCTATGCCTTCGCGTTTTGCTAAAATTGATCCAGTCGACCGTTTGCAGTTCGGAAGTTTTCATACCATACCAAAATTATATGCACTATTCAAATGTGGCTGAATAGCGTGTCATTTTTTCTTGGAGATACTGCAGACCCTGCAGTTCGATATTGTACTAGCAAACGCATGAGAAATTAAGATCGACATAGAAATGCTTACAATAAACCAAAAGTCTTTTCGTCGGAAAAAAATTGACGTCATACAATTGACCAGAGTTCCAGCAGGAGCTAGAAGTGAAACTGGCGCTCCCATTGAACTCGTTTTTCTGCTGTTATAACTACGAGTAAGAGATCGTGGGATCGACAGCCACGATCGTGTTTTGACGTCATACAATTGACCAGAGTTCCAGCAGGAGCTAGAAGTGAAACTGGCGCTCCCATTGAACTCGTTTTTCTGCTGTTATAACTACGAGTAAGCGATCGTGGGATCGACAGCCACGATAGTATTAAAATGATTAAACTGAAAATAAATCAAAATTGAAGATAAATTAAATAACGCACCAGCTTGAAATCTTGTGCTCGAAGTACTGTCAGCATTAACGAACTGCCTCAGACCACCCGTCAACCGACGCTTTTTTGCTTTACTGACCGAATCGTATGAGGAAATGCTGGAGCATTACGCTCACACGAACGCTTCGCAAGTACAGTACAATTGATCTTTTTTCTAGGATAAGCTACAATTTTATTCCTTCCACTAATTTGTCTAGTATAAGTGGCGAAAGAAGACTAAAATATCTTGTCCCGTCTCAATCTAATTCAGTCATGCGCTTTTGTTTTATGATTTTTTTTTCAAATGGAACTAGATGGATTAATTTTGCAGATGGATAGTTTCCTGACGACTTAATTCGTGTTTATTCTTGATAACTCAGGTTGAAATTAAGTAGGAAATTCCATCACCACAGCTATAGAGAAATTTAGTTATTCTATCGCACTTATCATGAGCTTGAAGCCATGTCAAGTGCTGCAAAATATTTAAATGGGTTAAACAGATCTTTACTGGCCTTGTCAATCATCTTGAAACTAAGATCTAGAAGGGGAAAACAACTCCTCTGATGTTGGCAATACTTGTGCTAGTGATTCTGAATAAGTAGGTTACCCAATGGTCAGTAAGAAGGTGCCAAAGTCAGGAATGTAATTGGCCACAATTTTCAACGATTGACTAGACTCACCTTTCCAGAGAGGGGTACAGTGAAAATTGTGCATTGGAAAATTTTCTAAGTCGAGACTCACTCGACGAATTCATTTCACTTAAAACAGATCGGCCAAGAAATGCTTCAACTATGCACCAGGTTTCGAGCTAAGGGATTCTTCATTTTAACTCCTTTACTCATTTCTTCCCATATCAAAACAGAGAATAAGGACGGAAATTTTGTACCCTTCAAATGTTTCAATACTCGAGTTTGTACAGTCCTAATGAAGTTTAAATATTATTAGCTAAATAGATACACAATCGTGTGCTGAAAATTAGAGGGAAAATCACCGTTGTAGGGCCTTTTTGTGAGTGTGTGGAGGAGATTGAATGCTTTCCAATTGTAACGAAGGAGATGAATATTTCACACAATGATAATTTTGAATAACGAAACGCATCCAGGCAAGGATTAGTTTTGTTATGCGAGGAATCTATTCAAGCTGACGCAATGATCCCGTATTATATAACTGCAGAGCAAAGGCAGTGCTTGACGAAGCTTTTGAACCACTCAGTGTGATGTTTTGGAATTTCATGGGATGATTCGTTGACGAAGTACAAGCCCTTTCTCGCAGTGTTTCTTGAGAAATTCACGCTACTTCCCGGCGGAGGAGGTCGGTGAATGCGAGTTAGAAGCCCTCTGGCACAGAAGTCCGAAGCCACGTAATTTTGATTCCTCGCAAAGTATTCTCCTACCTCGCATGTGCACACTCGAACTCTTAACCACCGCAGAGCTGTTGAAGTCGGCATGAATGGGACGAACGAAGAAGAAAAAGAGAGAAAAAAAAGTTGTTGAATGTGGAGGTCACATCGGGCCCCTCGTGATCTCAATTCCCCACTGTGCTCTTTTGCCCCTTGGCATGAGTCGGTTCTATCTGAAAAGCCACGAGTTGCCCAGTCAGGCGTCTTCCCTGGGTGCGTCGTGCGATAGCAATAAAAATATGCTGAATTATCTTTCGTGAATGATCGAAGGATTTGAAAAGAGAGAGAGATTCCTGGCGTCGGGACTGGATGAATAATTAGGCTCGGGATACGCTGATAGTGTCCTTCATCGCGACAATTCATAGACCACGCCCTTGCATCATAATAATCCGCCGGCTTCCCATGCTCCAATATTCTTTGCGCATGAGCGACGACATTTTTTTTAGGACTGACCAAAAAAAATCCACCACTCCCGATAATCGTAATTTATCCCGTGAGAATATCAACAAGCAAGAAAAATCCGTTCCAATAAGCACCTATAGGATCTTGGAGAAATCTCTGAATTATCTTTCTTCTGGGAGATCAACATCTGTACATTCATAGGTTCCTCTTTTGTTTACTCACTTTTAGTTTTAATTTGGATGGAAAACCACCTCTTACACTCATCGATGATGTTCATGAATAATCAACCAATCGTATGAAATAAATACCACTCGAAATCGAAGGTAATAATTCAAAAGCACGCATTAAGAAAGTCACACCGGGCAAAAACATACAATACAAAAACTGCGAATGCAGAACATTTCAGTGCAAAATCAAAGTATAACTGTACCCAGGATAATCATTGCTCGGAATCGTTCTTGGCGTGGAACAGGTTTCTCTGGATTGCATTTCCAAATGAGGCCATAAAAGCGAAATCGAAGGAGAATTTTCAAAAGAGCCCACAATTTGACTCGTAAAAAATTTTTGATTTCGCGATTTTACCGTGGGGCGCTTTTGTTTTTTCTGGTTTCCATTTTTGTTGCAGGTACTCTGTTGAAGTCCTTTCCTCCTGAGTGCTTATTGTCTATGGCGTTGTTTTTTTTCTTATGTCCCCGTTTAATTGCAACAAGGAGGGCTTGATGAACAATCTGGTATTAAACTCGGTGCTGGTCCGGTGTTCGGTCCTGAAAGTCCAATCCATCATCAGCGTCATAAAGCTGTTGTCGAGTCATTCTGTCGTCTAGTTCGACGTCGGAGGGCTCTGTCATTGCGCACTCATTATTACGTGTAATTCCCTAGAGGCGCGACGTGATTGATGATCGCCGCCCAAACTCCTGGCAACCAGCTCTGATGTCCGGGATTTCCGCCAGGTTTTACATCGGATCATCTCTTGGGGTGGTAAGGTCGAGATGTATTCAGCAGGTTTCTGCCAGGATGAAATCCGACAACCGGAAGATGTTACAGCTGCGTAAAGACGGAGTAATGAGTTCGCGGATGATAACCCGTTTTTTCTCACATGAGTTTCCACGCGGAATCTCAGGCCCCGCAGAAGGTTCGTCTGGGTACTCCTCACAAGGGTTGCGCAGGAAAACCAACACGACGTCGCTCATAAATTCCCGCATCGCCACGAATCTGTTATTTTAGACTTCGTTCTGCGGGAGTTCTTGTTCACTTTGCTTTGCGGTTTCGTCATCCTGCTCACCTGTGGAAGAGCAGCGAGGAAGAAACACGAGATTTACTGCACTCAGGAAGAGAATAGACGAACCCGTGAATTCAAATTCATGTAAGACAAATGCGTACATATCCTCGGGTTTCCTCGGCGTTTGGTCGTCACGAAAGATGCATTGCTCTTTTCCAAATATTTACTTCGCGCGTTCTACGGCCATGTCTCATGTACCAAAAATTCAGCTGGAAATCGAGTTCCCAATTAGCTTGGAATATCATTAGAAAAGTGAGGTTTCACTGTGCTTGTGTCTGTCGGGTTTGAAATGCGGATGAAATTTCCTAGAAAGAGAGAGGGTAACGACATCACAGTATTTTCAANAACTATGCACCAGGTTTCGAGCTAAGGGATTCTTCAAAAATTGAGGAAATGAGTAAAGAAGGGTATAGTTTTGTCTCTTATTCCTGCCTTTAAAACATGGGAAGTTTACAAAGTTATGAGCTCAAACATGTCAGGATTACTTCAAATTTATAATAATCGATTTAAAATACACAATCGTGTGCTGAAAATTAGAGGGAAAATCACCGTTGTAGGGCCTTTTTGTGAGTGTGTGGAGGAGATTGAATGCTTTCCAATTGTAACGAAGGAGATGCATATTTCACACAATGATAATTTTGAATAACGAAACGCATCCAGGCAAGGATTAGTTTTGTTATGCGAGGAATCTTTTCAAGCTGACGCAATGATCCCGTATTATATAACTGCAGAGCAAAGGCAGTGCTTGACGAAGCTTTTGAACCACCCAGTGTGATGTTTTGGAATTTCATGGGATGATTCGTTGTCGAAGTACAAGCCCTTTCTCGCAGTGTTTCTTGAGAAATTCACGCTACTTCCCGGCGGAGGAGGTCGGTGAATGCGAGTTAGAAGCCCTCTGGCACAGAAGTCCGAAGCCACGTAATTTTGATTCCTCGCAAAGTATTCTCCTACCTCGCATGTGCACACTCGAACTCTTAACCACCGCAGAGCTGTTGAAGTCGGCATGAATGGGACGAACGAAGAAGAAAAAGAGAGAAAAAAAAGTTGTTGAATGTGGAGGTCACATCGGGCCCCTCGTGATCTCAATTCCCCACTGTGCTCTTTTGCCCCTTGGCATGAGTCGGTTCTATCTGAAAAGCCACGAGTTGCCCAGTCAGGCGTCTTCCCTGGGTGCGTCGTGCGATAGCAATAAAAATATGCTGAATTATCTTTCGTGAATGATCGAAGGATTTGAAAAGAGAGAGAGATTCCTGGCGTCGGGACTGGATGAATAATTAGGCTCGGGATACGCTGATAGTGTCCTTCATCGCGACAATTCATAGACCACGCCCTTGCATCATAATAATCCGCCGGCTTCCCATGCTCCAATATTCTTTGCGCATGAGCGACGACATTTTTTTTAGGACTGACCAAAAAAAATCCACCACTCCCGATAATCGTAATTTATCCCGTGAGAATATCAACAAGCAAGAAAAATCCGTTCCAATAAGCACCTATAGGATCTTGGAGAAATCTCTGAATTATCTTTCTTCTGGGAGATCAACATCTGTACATTCATAGGTTCCTCTTTTGTTTACTCACTTTTAGTTTTAATTTGGATGGAAAACCACCTCTTACACTCATCGATGATGTTCATGAATAATCAACCAATCGTATGAAATAAATACCACTCGAAATCGAAGGTAATAATTCAAAAGCACGCATTAAGAAAGTCACACCGGGCAAAAACATACAATACAAAAACTGCGAATGCAGAACATTTCAGTGCAAAATCAAAGTATAACTGTACCCAGGATAATCATTGCTCGGAATCGTTCTTGGCGTGGAACAGGTTTCTCTGGATTGCATTTCCAAATGAGGCCATAAAAGCGAAATCGAAGGAGAATTTTCAAAAGAGCCCACAATTTGACTCGTAAAAATTTTTTTATTTCGCGATTTTACCGTGGGGCGCTTTTGTTTTTTCTGGTTTCCATTTTTGTTGCAGGTACTCTGTTGAAGTCCTTTCCTCCTGAGTGCTTATTGTCTATGGCGTTGTTTTTTTTCTGATGTCCCCGTTTAATTGCAACAAGGAGGGCTTGATGAACAATCTGGTATTAAACTCGGTGCTGGTCCGGTGTTCGGTCCTGAAAGTCCAATCCATCATCAGCGTCATAAAGCTGTTGTCGAGTCATTTAAACCACCTCTTACACTCATCGATGATGTTCATGAATAATCAACCAATCGTATGAAATAAATACCACTCGAAATCGAAGGTAATAATTCAAAAGCACGCATTAAGAAAGTCACACCGGGCAAAAACAGACAATACAAAAACTGCGAATGCAGAACATTTCAGTGCAAAATCAAAGTATAACTGTACCCAGGATAATCATTGCTCGGAATCGTTCTTGGCGTGGAACAGGTTTCTCTGGATTTCATTTCCAAATGAGGCCATAAAAGCGAAATCGAAGGAGAATTTTCAAAAGAGCTCACAATTTGACTCGTAAAAAATTTTTGATTTCGCGATTTTACCGTGGGGCGCTTTTGTTTTTTCTGGTTTCCATTTTTTTTGCTGGTACTCTGTTGAAGTCCTTTCCTCCTGAGTGCTTATTGTCTATGGCGTTGTTTTTTTTCTTATGTCCCCGTTTAATTGCAACAAGGAGGGCTTGATGAACAATCTGGTATTAAACTCGGTGCTGGTCCGGTGTTCGGTCCTGAAAGTCCAATCCATCATCAGCGTCATAAAGCTGTTGTCGAGTCATTCTGTCGTCTAGTTCGACGTCGGAGGGCTCTGTCATTGCGCACTCATTATTACGTGTAATTCCCTAGAGGCGCGACGTGATTGATGATCGCCGCCCAAACTCCTGGCAACCAGCTCTGATGTCCGGGATTTCCGCCAGGTTTTACATCGGATCATCTCTTGGGGTGGTAAGGTCGAGATGTATTCAGCAGGTTTCTGCCAGGATGAAATCCGACAACCGGAAGATGTTACAGCTGCGTAAAGACGGAGTAATGAGTTCGCGGATGATAACCCGTTTTTTCTCACATGAGTTTCCACGCGGAATCTCAGGCCCCGCAGAAGGTTCGTCTGGGTACTCCTCACAAGGGTTGCGCAGGAAAACCAACACGACGTCGCTCATAAATTCCCGCATCGCCACGAATCTGTTATTTTAGACTTCGTTCTGCGGGAGTTCTTGTTCACTTTGCTTTGCGGTTTCGTCATCCTGCTCACCTGTGGAAGAGCAGCGAGGAAGAAACACGAGATTTACTGCACTCAGGAAGAGAATAGACGAACCCGTGAATTCAAATTCATGTAAGACAAATGCGTACATATCCTCGGGTTTCCTCGGCGTTTGGTCGTCACGAAAGATGCATTGCTCTTTTCCAAATATTTACTTCGCGCGTTCTACGGCCATGTCTCATGTACCAAAAATTCAGCTGGAAATCGAGTTCCCAATTAGCTTGGAATATCATTAGAAAAGTGAGGTTTCACTGTGCTTGTGTCTGTCGGGTTTGAAATGCGGATGAAATTTCCTAGAAAGAGAGAGGGTAACGACATCACAGTATTTTCAAGATGTGCACCACAGTAATTTCTTTCAGAGGAACACTTGATGTGCACATCATACTTGTGCGTGATGATTTGGACATTTCAACAGCCTCGCCCAATTCAAAGTGCGAAACGCAAGAAATATTAAGCTTTCCACTTTCTAGCCAGGATATGTTTGTACAATTATGTACCAAAGAGCTCTGGAATGATAATTTTAAAACCTGGATTGAGCAACATAGCCAAACTCAAGAAAAATCATAATGTTTTCTCTTCGGGCGGAAAATGCTTGCTAAAAATTCGTTGCTAGGCATTTTCTGTATTTCTATCATCGGATTAATATTCTCGGATTTGGAAAAAAGGGTGCAATCCTCCCAAGAAATCCTGGATTTTGCTCACTCTGCTAAAGCTGTATTCTAGTGACCGTTGATTTTAGTTTTTTTTTACATTTTTTTATTTTTTCAAATCCAGAATGCTCCTGCATACAAAAATTAAAAATTATAAATCCTGACTGTTGCAGGAAGGAAAATAACCTGCCTCCATCCAAAATGTAATGTGGAAAGCATTTTGTACCTCAATTTCCATCCAATTGCTATTGCGGTAATTTGATTCTGAATTTTTTTCAAGTTTTAGAGTTCCAGTTTCTCAGCCTGGACAGCAGTTCAGATTACTGGCAAATGTAGGCTTGACACATTTATCAAAAACCAGGTGCCGCGCTTCAGGCTCATTAAAAGACAAATAATTTTTTGACGGCCTGTATTGGCATTAAAATGGTGCATATTTTTTCTTGGATTTTGGAATTTGAAATTCTCTGTCTGTGGTTTGTGTTACATGAGGGATGACTTGTGTAGGTCACGTACCCTATTCAATTTATCATCGCAAATTTTTTGTTGAAACCCCATCGAGCTTTTGTACCTGGGTGATGTGATGCACCTTTTTTTTATTCGGGTGGAGCGGGATATACGCCGCTCTCGAATAAGTAAGTCACGTTTGTTTTAATGAAAAAAAAGACAAATTTTCTGTACTTTTTTCAAAGCCCTCTCTTACAGCCAAGTAACGTATTTACTCAGATTTCACGATCACGTTTTTTATCAAAATTCGGCTATAACAGGACTAAAAGTACTGATTTAATTTTACTTTGTTTTTGAAAAGTAAGATAGGAGTACAGTATTGTATTTAAAAGGTGTGCGTCGTAAATTAATTTACTGTTCAGGAACATAACGGGTGTCATAAACTGACGCGGCATTCGATTTCCGAGATTCCTCGACTGCCGTTGAATCCCAGGGAAAAAATAATTTCCCGCTGATATTTGTTGGCGATCGAATGCAGGCAGAGGTTCATTACCATTCCCTACCTCTTTCTTCCTTATTCCGTCCAAGGACATCATCATTGCACCGGACTAATGAACAGCGTTCGTTCGTGCATTTTGCTCAAGTCGCTGTTCAAAGTTACATCCCAAGTACATTACAGTACTTGAGATTATTCCGGTCAATCCGTAGGCGCCTTTTCTGGCCGAACGCAACAGCTTTGCGACCGTAAATAGAGGACACCCGGGGCGCTTTCACGTGCGGACGAACTCACATGCGGCGCACTTGTATATCCGCCTTGTCGACTGTCAACGCGGGAACGACTCCAATGTTCCCCATCGAAAAAAATGAATGAATTATTGCATTGAATGTGAAGCTTAATTTTGATTTCCGGTGCTTTCTATAGTTGCGTATCCCGTCGTCGGCATGAAATTCGATCGCACTGTGACCATACGGAACGGCAGAACGGGTTCCCCGAGCACTTCCGAGCGGACTGAGCGACCGGACCTACATTTCAAGCGCGTTTTTGATCCTGACGTTGTTCTTCACAGAGGTATGAATACTGTACTTCTGAATGTGACTAATTTTCCGCATTTGGTCAAGTAGCATATGCACTTGAAAGCAATACCGAATCAAAAAGTGTGATGTGCCTTTTATCCCAGTACAGTTTTCCCCAACATTCTTGTGTGCATGATCCCTGGATCGCGGTACAAAACTACGGATAAATTATATAAGAGAAGCAAATTAAACCCGAACGAAGTTCTCCTTTTCTTCGAGCATGAATTCATAATTTTAGCTAAATTTGAACATTTTCGCTGGAAATTGGCGTGGGCGTCCTACATGAGGTATCATATAATTTTGCAGCCGGAAAACGAAAGCGCGCGCCTTATGTGAGGGCACATGGTACTGTACTTCAGGAAATGCAACGGTACAGTACTCTAATACCTTGTTCCCCAACCTTTTTGGGCCCGTGGACCGGCAAATTTTCAAAAGATGTTCAGTGGACTGGCAAAGTTTTTAAAAATTGTTGCACACTCAAAAAAGTCTTGCCTGAAATACTCTATGGCGGACATTGAAAAAGTTTCTGCTTTTTTGCTAAGACATTAAGTTGAGAACCATTGAAGCGAGTATAGTGGAATGTCTTCAAAATATTAGAAAGATGGGCTTGAACAAAAATTTCCCAGAATGGAAAATTAAAACAATTTATTTCATCAGGTGAAAATTTGTCTGCAGTGTTATCAGGAGAAAAGACACATTTTTTCATGAGATAATTTTAACTGCAATTGTCTCACAAACATTTCAGATGAAGATACTGTAACATCCTTCATTGATTGTTTTGATAATTTCATTACGCTTGAGAAAATTTCCTGTGGACTGGCAAAAAATTTCTGTGGACTGGCGCCGGTCCGCGGACCGCGGGTTGGGGGACACTGCTCTAATACACATTTCAAGCAATCAATTTCCTCTCATCCCATTGATAAGATTTCTCTCACGCTAACATTGATGTTGCAGTGGATATCTCGACTCACCCTGTACAATTTAAGCAAAACTCCACTAGTTCAGACAGGGGAGCGGGTACCTTTGATCAGACTAGCAAATGTTGCAGAGAATAGAATGTTGAAAATGCCAAAGATTCCGTATCTTTAGTTGATATTCGTGGACCTGTACGTGTAAAAACAGTTTCAATGTTTTACATTTTTTTCACCGATGCTGTTGAGTTAAAATCTAGATTATTTCAGTCAAGATGGGCACTGAGTGAATGAATAACTGCAGGGACTATTGTGGAAGAAACGTGAAAGTACCGAAGACTGATCAAACGAGAAAACCAAGTATTTGCCCGAATTATGAGTTTGGAACGTGGTTTTCATGGAACCAATGAATATGTGGTAGAGCTAAAACAGCATGTCCGTTCCCAGTACAATGCTAGATTAATCAATGAAATTGTGATACACTTCGAGCAAGAAGAATCAAATTCAAAAGAGAAATGCAGGTCATTTAAAGGTAAACAAATAAGTGGCATAATTGAAAAATTTACAGGCCGCTGTATTTCCTCTAAATAAGACACGATTGGGCAGTGTTGAAGCATTGCTTGGTTTATCAAAAACTGGAGGATCTGATCTCCATTTTTTCTATGAAGGATCGTGTTCTTCAAGTACATTATTCATCTCTTTTCATACTGTGTCAAAAATAAAATGCCGTGAAGGGATTCATTTTTATTGTCCTGACTTGATGTAATGTGCATCCTTTTTACATGACAGTCACGATTTGTCATGATCCACAGAAAACGTTGGCAGGAAAAACAACTCAAATTTAATCGAAACAAAGTCGCTTCAATTAGCCCTTCTATTTACAATAAAAAGACTCACTGTTACAAAATCCTGCGTGTGTTCAATCCATGTCTTGAAAACACAGACATTCCAGTGAACGCATGTCTTTGGAAGCGAGGAGAGATTTTAAATTCAAAAATATTCCTGGATCGCATTTCTGCTCCCAATGGACGATCATGCACCAAGGAAGACTCACTGTAAAAGAAGAGGGTTTTTTTCCGTTTCTCGTTGAAATAGTAAAATTGTGACCCGGATTGTAGGATTGTACACGGAAGTCGATCGGATCGAGGAAACAGTCCGGCTGATATCCAAGCCTCCCGAGCCGGAAGCCAAGGCGTACTTGATGATCGGCTTCAAAAGCAACAAGGCTAGCCCTGAGAGAATGTTGGAAGCGTCGTGGAAGGAATGGACGGGGGCTCGCAACCTTTACCTGAATCTCGCCGACGAGTTCTGCCTGTCGACGATCCGGTTCTTCCAGCGCATCGAGCCGGAAGCCGTCGACATGTTTCAGTACATTGCGCTCGCCGAACTGGACAACGTGAATGAGCGGAACCGCAACAAAATGATGGACTTCGTGCATCGCATGCGACTCAACCGGCTGCATGCGCACACCTCGCTCTACCGTGTGGCACCAGCGCGCAGCGCCACGACGCCAAAAACCCACAAAGGCGGTACTCTCTGGCCGAAGTTCGACTCCAGTTACGACAGTCAGGACAGCGGGGAGTCGAGCACAGCTGAGAGCCTCCGCTTTTTGTCCATGGAGGACGGTTATCAGAGATTCAGCAGCACCATTTAAATTTGCTCCGAGTTCCGTGCGATGGACGTGGAGTGTTATTGTATGCTTTATGTGCTCTAATGCGGAAGGGCGAATACCTGAGCGGATACTGTAGGCTGTTTGTCGGGCAGGCTAACATTCCGGTGGGGAATAAAACTTCCGCGGACGGACTGGTTCGTTTTTTGTGTGTGGAGGCATTCGAATTTTTAATTGACGCTTGATATGAGCCGAATAAAATCTCAGTTTCTTATGTAAAATTGTTGACGACACTTAATCCAAAATATACTGTATATAAATAAAACTCTGCCCGCCATGGAGAATGTTGTCGGACATCGGCCAATTTTAGAACTTGCATGAATTAGGTTTAAGTTTGCCGTGCTCCTGTACGACACTAGATAATTGTAGTAAAAGCTCCGATGGTTGCGTTTATACAAAACAAAAACAGATGTCGCTCGTATTGCGATACAAGAGAGCGACATCTGTTTAATTTGAGAGTCGCTCTCTCCTATCTCAATTGGAGCGACATCTGTTTTTGTTTTGTATTGCGATAGAAGAGAGCGACATCTGTTTAATTTGAGAGTCGCTCTCTCCTATCTTAATTGGAGCGACATCTGTTTTTGTTTTGTATAAACGCAACCTGAGCGGAGCTTTTACTCCTGGTTCCAGTAGGACGAGAAACCTGCTGCTGAAGGCATGCACAGTCAAAACAAAAAACAGAAAAATGATGTGAAGATTGTCATTTGTGTAAGCTCGAAACTAATGAAGTACATTATGTCGGATCAATCTTCTTCGCCGATTTGACTTTTGCAGATGAGCAATTGTTAAAAGTCATGAGTGAGCATACTACAAGGGATTTTTCGCGACAGTTCGACGATTTCTCGATCGACTGTTATAAGTTACACATGATGATATAAACGTGGCAGCAATTAAAATGTAACGAAAATTGTATGATGAATCAATAAAAATTTACATGAACGACGGTCGACATTCAGCACGAACTACACGCCCAAGAAAAAGTCGAACGGGGGTATGTACATTGCTGAACAATCCCAGTAAAACGATTTCTACCGGCAAGCCGCGCAGACTGATTATTTTTCAAGTGAAATAGGTGTCGCACCATGACCAGAGCTACAGCGGGGAATGCCATCAGGAGCACATGCGGAGGGCAGTGAAGTCTTGATGGCACCGACGCATCATTCCAATACTGCACAGAAAATTATTTTCAGCCTCGATCCAAGTCGAAACTGAAGACTTTACCTCACGTTTCAAATAGTTTAATTTCAAGGAACTGCTGGCCGCGGGCATATTTAGAGCTGATCGCGTCAAATGCTGGGTACTTGCTGGCCTCTTGTTTCCGTTGCCTAAATTTTTTTTCAGCAAACGCGAAGTTATTTTGTTTCTAAAAAAAAATTCACATAAACATGAATTAATTAAAATGAAGTGCCAAATTTACATGGAAGTTCCGGCTCGACGTTGATGCAGGATTCGCAGTTCGATCGGTGTGGCAGTGAACTCACGAGACAAGTACTGTACTGTACAGTAAAGTTTTGTAATGTACCATATAAGCTTGTGTACATCACGAATTCTATGCCACTGAAGAATGCAGCATGATTTTCGGTGAACGAATCTGAGAGGTAACGCGTTCAGAAAATTTTCCGTCGTATTTTATGGATACAGTACTGTACTCCGATTCAGAACATGAGCGCCATCCAGCAGTTCAATAACTTTATTACTGTACAGTACTTACTTCTATCGGAAAGGTTAGATTCGCTGAATTTCATGTCATTTAGCTCGAGATCAAGAAGTCCCGTCATCTAATCTGAGCAATCGTGTTTCAACAATCACTGCTGGCTAATGCCCGCGGAATCGGTCGTACTCTATATTATACATTTTGCTGTGAGAGATCAATAAGCATGAACATTCTGGCGATGATACTAACTTCGCTAGCTGTCACCACAGCGAGGCAAACTTACTGTATGGAATGATGAAAAAGAGTGAAGGGTTGCAATACAAATCCATGTGGCAACCGAAAATATTACTTCGTATGCTGTTGCATTACGGTTCAAGTTCCGGGGGCAAACAAAACCCATCCTGTAACCGACGCGTGATTTGGCATCAGATTGATCATATGGAGTATTAGAATCCCTCAACAGGAGTGAGGTATCCAAGCCATCTTTCTTTCTCACATGGACCCCTGTTGTTCCCACATTTCCACTTGAACAAAATCAACGGTTTCACGTATTTGATGCCAGAGCAACCATAGAACAGTAAATTAATCTCATGATGCATACTACACCGAAAAATCCGCTTCGAGAGCAACTATCAGCAGGCGTGTACAGAGATGTTCGGGATTCCGGATAACCTCAAGTTGCGCTCAGATTTTTGCTCGTCAGCGAGAAAAAAACTACCGAGTGAAACTATCAAGCTTCGTAATTCGGGTCATGCTTCGAAACTTCCTGTTGTGAACGGAGACCGAATAGATGAAAGTATGCAAAAGAAAACCTCACTACATTAATAAATGCCATCCTATAGAATGTTTGATGAAAGGTATCTATAGACAAAAGATGCCGCGTGACAAGCTGCCTGAAAAAGAAAAAGACAATCGGAAAATATGAATGTTCAAGAAAATGCATTACAGTAGTCAATTTTATTTCAAAAAAGATTTCCATGCTAGAAAAGATTTCACCACGACGCCTTTTTCATTGCAACTTCCTGCTTTGATGGAATTATCAACATTTTCCCCACGTATACCTCACATCTCGCGGAATTATGAATCCCTAAGCCGTCCTGAAACACTACCCAAAAAAAGCGTATGCGGAAAGACAAAAGGCAATGACAGGATACAATACATTGACTTAACAACGGCTGTTTCATACGAAAAATTATGAATTCCTGCGCCACGCATCAACAATTTACAACAAAAGAAAACTCTGGCCATAGACAACATCGAACCTTGCAGGCAAGAATACAAGGCTATGCGTTAAAACTTCCGCAGAAATTTCCGAAATACAAGAGCAAATCCTTCGGTATTCATCGCTCGTTTGGCACAAATGCCGAAGCATACGGCCAGCATCTCTCTTCACCGACCCACGTTTCCACAAATCACAACTCACGCCAGTAACCAAAATAGCGCCAATTTTTATATCTTTCGCGCTCCGCGACAACTAAACTGCAAAGCGCTAAATTGCAACAAACGACAACCCTCGAGATGGGAGGCCCACAGTAAAAACATGCTTAGTAAACCCAACACGGATCTCAAACCAGAACGCTCAGTCCGTAGAGAAGACGTCCAACGGGTGGAAATTTTACTGTACATAGAAAACATACGATGCACGACTTACATATTCATGATGAAGAGCGCCACATTTCCGCCATAAACGGTCGTCGGTCCTCGGCGCGCGATGCTATTGACGGGCAATAATCGAAGCACATGCTACAGAACGCGACACCTAACCAAGAGCTTTGGAAGCTTTTAGCAGAACTATTCGTCAGTTGCTCAGCAGAACTCGCACCCCGTCGTTGCCTCCCTCCGTAAAACTTTCTGAAATTTACACTTCACGAAGCAGAAACCCATAGCCAGTAAAATCGCATCACACAGCAATCAAGCGATCAAGATCAATGTGAAGACCCATCTCCATTTCCCGTTTTCCTTTCCCAACTGCGTTCCGATACACTTTGTCGCAGGTGGCGATCGCTGGCAGAAATCGTGGACGTGAATTGTATTGCTAAACGCGGAAGATCAATAGATATTTGCAAGAGAGCCCCAGATTCAGACAAACACAGAGTTGTTTCTCAAGCCAACCGGTTTTCCGGGGCCAGGGCTCACCGGAAGCTGCGATTTTAAAGCATATTGATCGTGTGGGACCCATTGAAAGACGTGTACGCAGCTCGAAGGGAAACACAAATGCCGTTGCACGCCTTACTCGGACTTGAGCCGTCTGTTCGCGTCCGTATCTGTCTCGGTTCTCTCGGCACCATTTGCTGAGCCATTCGTGGTCAAAGCTGGAGCTGCAAACTTGATGAATTTCCCTCGTCGGCCAACGTATGCATCGTAGAAGAATTTCACGAACAGCAGGAAGTATGTGAAGTACATGAAGAAGGAAGCTGCCAGATTTTCGTAGGTAACGGAGCACGGCATGTTGGATTGCTTGTATTTGTAGGCCGACAGGTTCACGTAGAGGCCAAATACCATTTGAATCACTTGACCGCAAGTGATTCCCATGGCAACGCGACGTGGGATGCGCACACGCATAGCTCGCATGGCGTAGTACGTGTACATGAACGTGTGCACGATGTAGTTGAGTGTGACAAACCAACGCCCGGATGCAGTCACCTCGGCAATGCTGTACCAGGTATACAGGAGCACGGTGACATGGTGATACCAGTGCAGGAAGATGAGCGGCTGCTTGCGTAGCACGATGAAGACGGTGTCTCCCAATTCCACCAGCTTCGACAAGCCAAAGGCCCATGTCCAAAACGTGCAAACAAGGTTGCTTTCGGCGTAACTGAGGAGGCAGAAAAAACAATATAGAGTACTGTACCGTATTTCCTCAAACATCACGCACTCTCGCAGAGGATGTGCAACCCATTTATAGTGACTGAAAAACTGAAACATTTCAAAAATAAGAGAAACCAGAATTTAAAATAGGCGTGAAATCAGTTTTCAGTTTAAAAAATCCCTGTAAACTATTTTTCATCGCACTCGTGTGTGACACACACGAACTTTCATATTTTTTTCGAAAATTTCATCTCGGTCTATGACAGGCACCCCACTTCTTACTCTCAATTTTGTGGAAAAAAAGGTGTGCACGGTAATGAAGTGAATACGGTACGCGCACAGCGCTTTGCAGAGATCGTCATCAAAAAGTACAGTAACTGAGATATAAAACGAGGGTAAATTTGCTGTCCCCTAAATACATACAAAGAGCTAAGCGGAAACATCTCTAACCAAATATCAAGAAAATTTATCTTAAAGCCAATAAGAGGATTTTTAAATCCTAAAAATATTTTCGGAACAATCGATGCTTTCTAAGTAGGAAAAAATTTAGAGTTACACGCATGGAACGGGCGTAAACCTGTTATATACACATCCATGTAAACCTGAGAGTTCTCGAATTTGGGCCAGAAGGGCACTCACCTGTAAATGAGCTCACTCGGCGATCACGCGCAACTACAAGAGGCTCTTGACTGATTTTATTTTTCTCAACTGCGAAAAGCTTTCATTGTCAGAAAAACGGAAGAGAATAATCACCTGGCAACGCAGACAGAATGATAGACTCCGTATTTCGACAAAACGAAGATGAGCTCAGGGAGCATGCGGATGGCGCCGAACAGGCTGAACATCGCCAAGGCCCAGTTCCAAACGATGAGAGGGGTCCGCAAGTTGAACGAGGGTCGGGGACGCATGGCCTTCTGCGTGAGGTAGACGACGCCCAGGTACACGGCGGAACAGCAGAGGATTGGGGTCCAGTACCGGTTTGCGTACTCCTCGGCTGTCTGGAAGTGCAAGCTCGTCTCAAAAGGCAGCACGAACTCGTGTTCCAGCGTCGAGTAATTATCCGCAGACGCTCTCGACTCCATCGTCCGCGACGCGCCGAAAAGAGACGCCGCCGCCATCCTTCACAAATTTAGCAAAATGTCCTGCAACGCAAAAACGAACACGTGAAAATTTCTGCAATTTCGAACAATCGCGAAACCGTCCAAAATCGAGAAAACCCAAAAACACTAACGACTTCCGCCTTTCCGAGGATGCACTTCAATTTCAGGCAGACATTCCCGGGTAAACTGCGTAGGGCAAAAACAAAAGTTTCAAAACAGCAAGGCCTACAAAATTCCGACGGAATGCTTTTTCCCCCACATGAAACGTTTTCTTGCAGTTATTGGCTGCGAACTGATCCGAGCAAAAATTTTAGATACGAAATATGTTCAGATCGCTATCAATCTGGAAACCTAGGCGAAACTTTCGTCCAAGCAGCAAAGCCAGCTTTGAATCGTGTTCATAATTACTTTTTTGAATCTTATACATTGTAACTTCGAATAAATACCGCACAAAAGCAAGTATATGACTCGTGCACTCAAGTTCAGTACATTGTAAGAAACTTCCGAATTTCTGCAATAACAAAAATGTGAAAGGAAGGTGGCATATGATTGAACAAAAATAGACATTCCACCGTGAAGAGATGAAGCTGCAAAGATGAACAAAACGCCAATCGAAAAAAATCTCCGTAATAGTTTACTCGGAGTTCGATTCGGATTCCAACTGAACTTCCGCCCCGCGGAACGATAACTTATAACTTGGATAAGCGCCCAGTTCTTTCGCATAAAAAGTCACGGACTCGAATCAGTGGACATGCTTCTCCCCCAGTACAAACTTACAGGAATTGTGAATTCACACTGAATTTCAGATATTCATCATTTTGTGAAACGTGAGACGAGTCACGGAACCTTTCATCCACATTCCACCGCAAGTAATAAAGACAGTCTTCATTTCCATCAATTATTGATGCGCAAAACTAAGGAATCTTGGAGAAGAAGCGGAAACGCGTCGATGGAAAGCTCACGAGAATCGTCACAGCCACACCTGACAATAAAAGACTCCTACGCTAGGCGCTGATTCTGGGGAATACTGTAATTTCATTCAGAGCCTCCTTGTTTTATTTCGCACAGACGAAGGAAGCTCCCCGCGATAGCAAACACATCTTGAAATTAATGCGGCCTTGAAGTTTTACCACATTTTCTGTAAATCAGCCGCACCTTTCTTCACAACTGTGCATCTTCTTAACGAGTTCTTGAGTTAATTCCTAATTTCTCTCTACAGCGTAGAACGAGTCAGTTTGGGCACTAAACTCCTGAGTTTTCTGTTGCCCGTAGAAAAATATCAACCCCGAAGGGACCACATAATTACGAGCATAAAGCAGACGACACTGAGAACCGCTTCAGCTCAAGAACATTTAGAAGCCGTCTTCGATGAATCATACTTCGGAGAATTGCTTCGCAGACAGCACAATAAAAGCATGAGATTCTCATAGCGTAAAACAAAGCTTTAAAAATTAAACTCCTTACAATTCGCCCGCCGAATTCATACCATAACACGCTTCCGCAAACCAGCGAATTCCAGTTCCGCAAATCTTTACTTTCTTCCATTTCCCTAAATCCATAACTTTTCATACATTCACTGAAAACGTGAAAAACTTCAGCAAATATAAGAATTGCCATCTGGGAATTATTGGCCACGTAAAATTATTTTTGGAGATCCATTATTTACTAACTGAACAATTTGAAGGTAATGATCAGGTTTCGAAGATACCATACACCAGAAAAGTTATGCAATATTTTCATCGACAGCGGTTAATAGCAAGTTTTTTTTTTTTTTTCAAGGCAAATACCGCACGCTTTGTGTTTCTGACGAAACTTGGGATCCTTGGGTTCAGGCGGAGGAGCAAGAGGATTTAAGCCCTTCTCGCGTGGTTTACCTTTTGGGTATCCGTCGACATGAAAATTAATGAGCGACAGTTGATCAAATGCGAATGAAGATAAATATTAGGAAAGTCCATCAACGATTCGACTCTCGGTTCGACAATCGCTGATGCAATTGTCCGGCTCCGGCATGAATATATTCACATCGGGCGTAACACGCTCGGAATAAGTGAGAAGGATTCGTCGATCGAATTCCACGACAAACCCCAGACGATGAGGAAGCAAACTCGGTACAGGGTTCATTATCTCCACCATGAAGCTGAGCCCGAAACCCCAAGGCAACAACTCGAATAATTACTATAGCACCTCCACCGGTAACTGTCCAGTCGTTAATACGGAAGCAGGTGCGCAACAAGTTTTCCACGACAAATCGTGTACACTGCACAGTATTCAGGCGAAAAAAAAAACCTGCACATGTTAAGAGAAGGAAGTTTACAAAAAACTGCAAATACACGTGGAGCGGTAAATTGCCATCAGTAAGGGATATGTAATGTTACAAGCACTTCGACAAAAATTGACCCATTTGAGAGATGACCTGAACAAGCTTCGAATCATCTCTAAAAAAAACCTCCTGTATGCTACTTCTTCAATGGCATTTTGTTGGCCAAATTTTTCTACTAATATTTTTCTATCAACATTAACTGACGCATGGAACGCAATTCAATCAATGGGGTACATGCTCGAATTTCTCAAGCGAATGCACATTCCCAGTTCTTCATTTTTTTTTCTATTAAGGATAATCGCATCAATACGTTATCACGAAAGGCTGGCGGAAAATGATACGAAAACACAGAAGGAAACAAGACTCCCATGCATCACCGCGATCAACTGCCGAAAGAAATAAAACAATTTTTTTCGTGGTTTTGAAGTTTCCTTTGTAATATAAAAAAATGAATGCTTTTCTTCTGAAAGAAATCCCCGTGGATGCAACGACGCGTTTTCCATAGAATGCAAACAACTCAGAATCAATCGGTATTCACGTAGCGGATCTTATGATGCCGATTCACTCGAATGCCAATAAAACTTTGAGGCATGGATTAGTATCAGCTGATCGATATTTCATTTTTACGATGCCAGCGACGATGTGAATGTCGAATCCATCAACCAATCGATATAAAGATTCCGCTCGGATTCATGGGTGGAATCGAGCAGTCGACGATACACACAACTTTACGAGATCAAAACGACAACGACGAAGATGTCAAAAGAATCAATCGGCTGCATAAAAAAGTTAACTGAGAAATCCCCCAATATCCAGATGCTTTCTATAAAGAAAAGTATGCTCTAAGAAGGGTATGGCAAAAACGCTTACATTTTTAACATTATGACGAGGAAAATGCGTTTCAAAAGGAATTTTCGCCCACGCATGTGATTTTTTTCCTGTCGAGACTTGCAAAAATGTCAGGGAGGACATAGCTAAAGATGAAATCGCTAAGAGCACAGGTACTACTGCAGTGGCAACCAGGAATGACTAGAATCCATGAATCGGGGGGGGGACAAGAGGATATCAACCCAGAAAATGAGCATTTCCCAACGAAAGATAAGTAACATGCATCTGTAATTGATGGGTACAAGAGATCAGCTTTCGTTGAGCTTCACGCGATTCGCGTAGAAGAAAAAAATATTAACAAAAATCCCGGCATCCTACCACAATTCGTTGAACACTAATAACGGGAGAAGTCCAACAGAGAAGAGGCGCAATGCGGCCATTTCAGTTTCCACAGAGCGTATTACTCTCGATGCTCGTTAGCTCTATCAAGATCAACTGGCCTTACACCGTTCGGTGATTCTAACCACACGAACGAAGCCCTCGTTTCAGGGTTTCGTCATGCGGAAACAGCTTTTCGCCCCAGCAACGGTGTGCAGTCATTACCAAGGACAACTTAGGTTTGTCAAACTTGACTCGGGTTCGAGTCAAGAAGGCTTGCTTTCAATTGTTATTTCATTTCTTGGAATAAGGCATTTTCTCTTCTCCAGCAATTCGAAAATCAGCAGTCGGAAAATGCAATACGATGGGCAACCAACCTAACGAATAAGTGTTTCAGCATCGATATTGAAATCGCCACGGAAAATCTCAGAAAACGTAGCCATTATCAGACGATCAACGCTTTACTGTGACTCCACTTCAGTTTGGTTCATGCATCAAGGCAAGTCTCAGACAGATTCAAGGGACATGATATATTTGAAGTTTCGAAATAAAGCAGGATTGGCGCGGCAAGTTTTAGTTCAGCTGAAGATGCAGTTTCCACGTGAAATGAATCAACACGATTGAAGTATTGTACTGTAAAAACTGCAATTAATGGTCTCATAATGAACCAATGCCACCAAGAGTTGTGAGATTCGACATAAATGAATCATCAGCTGTTGAAGAATACATGACAATTCGTTTCGTACTGTTTCGGGAGATTCCTTCAATCTGAACAAATCTCTCAGCCCCCTTGATCCAAGAATTGAAGCTTTCCACGAATTCCAATGTTGGTACACGTACTGTACTTCCCCGTTCGGAATTGAAATTACCTCTTCCTTAACGTTATTACGTCTCGAAAACTACCAATGAAAGAGCACCACTGGGTGAGTGTAAATATCTTTAAATGAAATATTTGATTGCAAGAATACCTTTGATTTACGAGTACACGATTTCCGGAATCCCCTGCACACAGGAATCGAGAGGTCGATGAATGATGAACCGTTAGCCTGATTTTCATTTAATTTCTCAAATCCATCCTCCACGGCGGGAAAATCGGGTGGGTACAGTTCTACAAACTTACGACAGTAACAAATTTTCCCAATCGCTCTTCACCGCAGTAAAGAATCGAAAGACACGCCTCGAAAATATCTGTTAGGTCGAATCAGCGCGCACGACAGTCGCTCTTCTCTACCGCGCATGACAACCTGCCGTACCACACGCATGACAAGAAAGCCCCCAGGCCTGTCGCTGGCTCACAGTCCGCGACGAACGCGAGAGGACACTACGGACGTCGACGTCAAGTCCGACGAACAAAACCTCCGCGCCGGAAGTACCGGTGCCACGCAGGCGAACACATCCGTCGAGGGATTCCCAGCGGAAGAGAATCCCTGGGTCAGAGGCGCGACTTCCTCAGCTCACGCAACGGATACGGAGAGTAGAAAATGCGGCCAGCGGCGTTTGCGGCCGAGTGGGGGGA